GAGCAATACTTAGGCTTGCCACATCTTATATTAAATATAATTACACTTCTTACTTTAGAGAAGGAGCAATTGTGCACCCACTCCCAACTGTGTGCACTGAGCACACTTTATCTGTATAAGAAAAGAAACGCTGGTGATGTTGGAACAATCTGGCCCATTCACACGACCACAAGCGCATGACTTGCCTGCAGCATGGGGATTAGGACGTTCAGCTGGGTGTGTACTGCTGCTCAGTACGACATTGTTCTCCAATGCAGGGCTGCTTGTTTTTGTCATGCTGCTTATCAGAAGAGGACAGCTCCAAATCTCTCTCGTAGCCTGCCAAATTCTAATCAATTGTCCATTTCCTACTGTACGCTGTCTACAGAGCTGCAACATACTTGTCCAAAAAGGACTCCTGGAGTCACGGTTTGTTATTTCTGCAACTAAACAAAGCACTGTGGAAAGTAGCCGAGCTTTTAGCCTGGGAGGTTCCCCTCAGCAAGGAATTAAATCTCATATTCAGAAGGGGCCCTTTCAACATGTATCGAGGTGATCTTATTTTACTCCCAGCACACTCTGCCTTCTATAAACTCCACATTCTTCTCCAAACGCGGAGGCCATTTCCACTTGGCACTGATGCAAATGCTATTTCCACCGGTTGCCCCCTTTATGTTCAGTAGTTTTTAAAAAAAGAGCACTGACCTTCTAGGAAAGATTTAAAACTGGATCTCATGGCCTGATTCTCTTGGGTCCTCATTGTGGACTCTACAAGGCATCAAATAGGAACTAAGCACCAAAGGTGTTCTCTCTTTAAACACACATCTCCTCTTTCTCATCAAAGGATAGACATGCACAAGAAGGAGGGGGGAAAAAAAAGAAAAGAAACCAACCACAGCCCCCACGGCTTCTATGAAGCGGGGAAACCTGTGTGCTTTGATAAGGATTGCTGCCTTTAAAAAGCTGAGATAAGAGTGGATCTTATTATCTGGGAATAGAAGCCAGCGCATCAGCCAGAACTGTCCAATTACCCCTCAAAGTCTTGCACTTGTCACCTTGACGACCGTTAAGATCTACAAAGTGGGCGGCTGCCGTGAGCAAGTCGAAGGTGGCGGGCTACACTTATCCTGTGCATCTTCATGCAAGAGACTCTAGTCTGAAGCCATAAAAACATCTCTGAAGGAACAAACACATGGGATGGGTGAAGCATTAAAAACAATGCCTTTACTTTGACTCCACCAACATCAACGTGTTGTATATGTCTTAAGAGAAATGAAAATGGACTGAAAACCAGCCGCTGCATTAGCAGTTGCATAATTTTGCTCCCCAGAATAGCGTAGCCCTTGTGCATTAGATAAGAACGCTAAGACAAGACGAGCTGGAAGATGAGAGACGCAGACTGCACCCAAAGGCATTTCATTACAGTCTGAATGCTTCACGTTAACAGACAAAACACCATAATCATCATTTGAATTTTGTTAAGACAGCGTTACTCAGGAAGCATTTAAAGCCTTTTTTGGTGTGCATGTAATCCAGCATAATTTACTAAAATGCTGACATTGTAAACCAATGCAAGCACTGCTCCACATGCTCAGAACAGGCCCTGGAAACAACAGTAGGTCTGCACATGAAAACTACACCCTAAAGTAAAAATGCAAAGTAATAAAAACCATCACCTCCAGTTATACTCTCAAAAAACTGTCTTAGGTTTGCTTTGAGAAATGCTTTCAATGCGTTGGTACACCTACAACTGCCAAGTCAGCAGATGGTAGTGGTCAAATAGCCTAGTAGAAACGGTGAGCGAACAAAAAAATGCAGCGGAGGCGTCTGCCTTTACACAAATTCTAAGTTGTTTTTCCTCCGCTTTTTCATTACTGTCTACACCCTCAGAAAAAAAAGGTACTAAACTGTCACTAAACTGTACCACTCGCATCCCTAGGGTGGTACCCTCTAGGGTACGCGTTTAGTTACTTATGTAAGGGAACAGAATTGTACCATATTACATTGCAATCATAATTTTTCAGGTTCACTGATGTCATATGCTCTGTCTTGACTTTAGGGTTTAGGCCACTTGCTACCTGCGACTCCAAATATTACTGCTGGGGGAGAGTTTCGCTTACATGGTCACCAAGTAAGTGAAACACAGTGTACGATTTTCAAGACATCATTCAACAAATGTCAAACCATCTATCTAACAATTGCTAAATGTTAAACAGTGCTGCTAATTAGGAGAGAGCAGGTGGTTAGCACTAACTTAGCTAGCATGATAACAGCTCTGCTCACCACAGAACTTGTTAACAATAGCTTAGTTAGCAGGCCAAAGATGCCACAAATCACAGCAAAGGCTTAGCCTTAGCTAACTGATGCTAATACAACACCCTTTAAGTGTTTATTTTAGAGTGCAAAGTTGAGCGACTAATGTTAGAGTGACAGAAAGCCAAACTGAAATGTGTTCTGCAGTAACTGTAGCTCTCAGCAGTCGCTGAGCTACTGTTTTTTGAGGCTTTTCCCCTCTTTTTATCAGCTCCACATATAGATGAGCTCCCATGCCACTAATCAGTGAGCTCCTATAAAATATAAATGGATTGAATGTGTTTATTTGGCCTTTCAGACAATAGAAATGTGACCCATCATAATTTTGAAAACTCATCACCTCACATTTTTGTAACTTATTATTGCATACTACCAAACTCTCCATCAGGTAGACAGGTCTACTCCAGGATTTTTATTTTATTTTTGTACTTTAAAACATTTTATAATGCAAAGGTACAAATAGGCACCCCTGGGAAAGTAAACATAGTTTATCCTTTAAAACTCGGGTATTTAAAAAGGTTAAAAAGGTACCCAACTGGGTCTTAAAGGGAAGTCTGACTGTTCTTGTAAGCTAAATTCCTCTATAAGTACGTCACCATTGTTGCATTGTTCTAATGAAAATAACACGGAAAGTTTTCCTCTTGAGAAAAGTCACACTCTTGCTGAAGCTGGACAGACTGAATGATTTACTGTGTTAGATATTTAGTTTGCTGTTTCTCACTTACTGGATGAGAGAAAGAACAACCATCTGATTCTGTAAAAAAAAATGTCAACCTACTAGTAGAGGGATTTTGTCTATTTTTAATAATAAATAAAGGGTCTTGCATTGTTTATACAACATATTTTAATAGTATTGGACACACCATATTTAGCCTCATGTCTTAACAGTACCATTCAGTATCACTGAGGGTGAATTTATACTGTTTGTACCTTGATGAACAACATTGTACCTGTACAGTACCCTTTTTTCTGACAGTGTACATGAAAAAAAGTCATTGCTCAAAACAAGTTTAGCGCTACGCATCCGCCAGTCACGCTGGACGGCTGCTGGTCCAGGCCTTTGTATAATGCCTCATACACTTGTGCCCAACATACACTCCACTTTTCTACTGCATCAATGGTTATGTACACACACTGCTTCCCAGCAGCACACAAAAGGCAAACGATTCTGCAGTTTGCCTTTCCACTTTTCCACATCGCTAATTTTTTGGCTTTCTACTGAGACACCCGAAACCAGAACAAATCTCGCAGATAAAAGTCTGCTTTGATTACACCCTGAGCTAATACCTTTGCCTTTCAAATCCTAGTAAATACATTTATACACAGAGAAGGCACCAATATCAGCAAAAGAGCTGAATCGGAAAAGGGAATGAATCTGATCCACTCCTGTAACAAATCTAGCCTGAAATAGCACTCACACAAACTACATGGTGTGATGTTGTTAGCTGTGTATTTCTTTCTGTGGTAGTAGAATGTGTGAGTAGTATAAAAACCTATTTTTAGATGCTATTCTTAAGTCAAATGCTTCAATTTAAAGTAGTTCAACTTAAAGCTTAGTAGCTTTTATGGTAAAATATCAGATCAGATACTCAAGGTTTGAAAATAAGTATCAGAAAAGAGAAAAAGCTATTGTCTGGACTCTATACATGAACACATTTATCCTAGTACCGGGCAGCACTGATTCAATTCAACATATGAATATTATTCATATACACCAAACGGGCACTGCATTAAGCACGCCTACCCTGTATCTACACTCTTTGCCCATTTATCACTAGTTTGTCTTTTCGAAAAGAAAATCTTGAGACATATCGCGTATCAGGAAAAATGATCAAGTATCTTGATATTACATTTTTGCCATATCGCCCACCTTTATGTTACATATACATACAGACACACAGACACAATGCAATATTAGTGCCACATTTATAACACACAATGATTATTATTCAGCTTTTTTTTAAACATTCTATGCTCCACTGGTTCCAACTAAACATGACTTATTATACTTAGGACTTGCAGTCGGTCAGTGTAGTGGGTCAGTGTTTCTTAAGTGCTGACAATATCTACAATATGCTAAGAAAGCATACTGTTTATCACAATCACAGAATTTATGATGATAACAATAAAATATCACGATATTTAGGTTTGCATTAATAAAGTTAATGAATCCATGCCTTCTGAGTAGTGCTGCTCTACACTAAAAGTATGGGTGGGAGATACATATATATGTATATGTATATATAACATCACAATACTTATACCTAACTTACAGAATTTTAAGGGAAAAAAGATTTCTTTATATATTTTTATATTTAATTAGTTTTTATGCATTTATAACTGCACCAAACAAATGACATTCTTTGCAGTTACTGAAGTTTTTTGTCTTATCTAGCAACACCACTAAGACTAAAAATCTGTATATACAACATATAGATTTTTTATATCATTTATATATGTATACACACAGACACACACACACACACACATACAAAATACTGGCCAGCATTATCCTTTTTTTATGCTTGGTAAACATGACAAGTCACAAAAAATGTCTTTCTGTCTACTTTCTGCTCTGTTTATAATAATCACATGCCATTTTATAACCACATGATCAAAATATGTGGTTCTTGCATGGTGCATAAATAAAAACCCAAGAATTTGTTTAAGCCACCATTTCAGCCACAGAACAGATGAAGTTCACTTACCAATATAGAGCGAGGAGTCTTTCCGCCTCACATGATCATCTATGTAGGACACACCCAGAGGCTGCACGGGTGTGGCTCCGATTCCCAGCAGGACCTGAGCACCGATCAGCAGGAGGTACATCATGTTGGTGTTGGATTTGTTCAGGCATTGCTCTTTGTCCATCTCCCCACGCGAGGCGTTGGAGCACACGTTCCGCCCCAGGTCCCTGTGCCATGCTTCTGTGATCGTGTAGTCATACTGTTTGGTAAGAAACTCAGGCAGGGCCGACAGCAGTGCCCCCAGTGCCATGACGATGCCCCCGCAGCCAATCAGCCGTGGCCGGTGCCCTCGGGCACCAAAGTAGCTGACGAACAGGATGAAGGCTAGGTTACCAATCTCAAAACTGCTGGCAATTACACCCACGTCAGCGCTCTGCAGGTTAAAGCGCCGCTCCAGTGTGGTCAGGACACTCACCTGCAAAATGAAAAAGAAAAAACCTGAATCACAAATAACCATTTTCAAAAGCACTTTTCTTTGCCACAGTCACTCTTTGGCTTGTGAGCTCTTAGATTTGTGTAAATAAATATTGACAATAACAACTGTAAATAGAGATAAATTAATAAAACTAAACTGATATAAATGAAGTGAAACTGGGTTTAGCTAAGATGCAAATAAAATTCAAATGCAAAAGTGCTTCAGGTCAAAGTTTTTCTTTGCCCGTGGCTCAGTAGAGATCTGGATGAAGATCTCTGTAAAGCTTCTTTGTGACAATAAAGATGGTTTGGTTTTCTCTATGACGGTATTTGTCACAGTGAATGCTTTTAGATATACCGATAAAATGCAGCATTAGACAAAGAACTTTTTCAAACACAAAACACAATTCGTTTTTTTTATTTCATTTCAAGTACCCAACACGTGAAAGGCGTGTCCAACACATGAATCACGTTAAAAAGTAAATGCCCCTTTAGAATTAATAACCGCAAGCAGCACTTCCTACTGTGCCCAAAAAGGGTACTGCCCATCAGAACTTTTGTAAAGTCGAAAAAAATAAAATCAGTCTGTCATCAAGACAGGATTATTTGAATGTTGGATTACTTTGCACCTTAAGCAAATTAAAGGACAAATTTAAAAAAGCATTCCCTGTGACAAATATGCAGTAATTAAGAAAATCAGAAAGGGAGCGGATACACAGCACTATATACAAATAAAACTGAAATGAAGTCGTTTCACCTGAACTGAACTAAACATTTAAGTATATATGACGAAACAAGAGTATTCTGCATAATACTGGATGCTGGGTACAAATAACCATTATAAAGGATTTCATGTTTGTTTTGGTTCACAATCAGAAAAAAGCATCAAAGCCACCACAGATTAATTCATATCCAAAAAAAAGAAAGAAGTCAGTAAACTTAGGAGAGCCAGAATCAGACATCACACTGTAAATACTCTATCATAATTGGTGCTTGACTTTCTGTTCAGTCTATGGAGTCATTACCATTCTGCACATCAGAGTAATTATAGGACAGTAAAGGCTTTCATACATCATCTGCTTTTGGACTACTACATTTTGCAAGTTTATCAAAAGAGCACTTTATTGAGGCCATGCCCTGTAGTCTACAACCCCTTGCTATGGAGCAGACAAGCTCTTAGACTCAAATCACCATCTCTCTCACTCACTCACTGGTAATGCAGCACAAAGGAAAGCTTACTGTAATATTACTGCTGTTTCTTGCAGCAAAGTAGTGCAACAAAAGTTTAAATTTCTGGATTCTGATCACAATTACAGACTTACCTAGAACCCTGATAATTTAATGTTTCTAAATAAGATATTCATATTTTTATAATTAATCCCAGCAGAGCTAGAGCTTTTTTGTGCATTAACATTTGCAGAAAAACATTTTTCAAAACAGAGGTTCTTTTCAGAGAACGATTCCTATAAGTGATGTTTACCATCTGTTTTTCCTTAACTAACTCCTGAAAAGACGGACTGGTCCTCATCCTTGCAGTTTCCAGTTGGTACAAATTTGTACCGGTTTTAGAGAACAACTCTGAAGTAAACTAATGAGTTGTGCGATTGTGTCTTCCAGGAAGTAATGAGTAAAGTAATCCCATCATAGTTTGGGAGAACTAATTAGTAATTTGTAAAGGATTATTTTCTGAGTGACTGTCCCAACACTGCTTGCTTTCTTCTCTTTCTCTCTCTCTGTCTCTGTATGTGTGAGCGTGTTTCAAAGCATGTCTATTTCTCCGTCTCCAAGTCTCTCTCCGTCTCTGCGAATGAACACTATGAAATCTAACTCAACTTTTAAACTAATTTACATAAAAACACACAAAACTGCAGATACTAGAGCAGCCTGCCGCTGACTAGTAATGCTCAATATTATAATTCTGGCAATCTGATTAAGCTTGTATTCAGTGTGCAACAGAAAAACAGCATCCATTCTGACTCTGGATGACAGGCAGCTAATACTGAAACATTCTGCTTGTGCAGTACAATAAAGACTGCCTTATCACAGAAATACGTTCATTATAAAAGCTCTATGGTCAAGCATAGCTATAGCAAATGACATTATCACAACAATCTTATAATTGTACTGACCATAACTCAATTTCCTATGCTTTGCCTGGGACAATTTATTTGAAGAGGAATCTGGAGAGGATGGTGAATCAGTCCTGCTGTTCAGACATTTGTGCTATGTTTGCACTTTGTACTTCTGTTCAGCTGAGTCCAACTGAAGCTGCAGTCCAGATGGCATAGCCATCGTTCATTAAACCTCTTGTCCAGCCAGTTAGCTGCACACAACAAACCAGGCCATTCAATCACTACCAAAAAATAACAACCATACTGCAGCTCTGCTAGCTAGCTAGCTAGCTTATATACAGAGTCACCTGATTCACTGCTTACAATGCTAACTAAGCTAGCAGAGGAGAGTCCGCAACATTTAAATGTGATTTTAAATCGTTTCTGTTGACTTTCATTTATTTTAATTAATTACATATTTATTTACAAGCCTTGTTTCAGGCCTGTGCTGCTAAGAGAGTCCTCTTCTGGTGTTTAACAATTTTTCCCCCCTCATCAAGCAGATCTACTGCACATGCGCATATCATGAGTATAGTATACTAACTTAATTTTTACTAATGGTTTATTGTTTTCCTTTAATGTTAATGTGGCCATACTTGAAGCGAACTATACACACTAGCTGAATACGTTAATGTTACTGCCCTCTGATAAGATGATTTAGACTATAAAAATGTCCTACCAATAGTTTTAATGTTGGAGGCATTTTCTGAACAGGTCATTCAGGCTATTAAAATATCCTATCTGTAGTTTTATGCAGGGAGCTACCTGTAAATATATAGTAAAGTACTACATTTCAACAAGGCGGGACATATCATCAGGCAGCTCAACGGGTTGGTTAAGCTTCATTTCACTTGCTATCACTTTGTTCCCACATCTGCTTCAGAGTTATGACCAGTCTCAAAATTACTAGAAGAAAAAGTGCTGCTTTTACCAGCTCTGTAAGTACATCTGTTCTAGTTACTTCTGCTACTAAGAACAACACTGATAGTTTCCAGAAGAATGAGTAGATCAGCACTTGTAGAGACACTACTACTGCTGCTGCTGTTGTTAATAATAATAATAATAATAATAATAATAATAATTATAACACTTTTTCTTCTAGTAATTTTGAGATGGCCCCTAACTTCAAAGATGAAGCAGAAGCAAGCAAAATGATAGTGTGCAGGTTGAATTTTAATCATTGTCAAAGTTTTTTCTGTCCAAAACCTGATGCCACGATCGTACACTGTACCACATAAGCGGCTTTTTAAATGCTATCTGCCTGCAGTGCCAAGTGCCTTCAAACAGCGCAACTCAACAGCAGCATTTCTAGAACAACCTCATCTATATTTGGTACAATACATGCAGGATATCACACTACTCAACATCTTCAACAGCTTGATTATGTTCAACTACTAATTTCTTCCTGTGGTTTGCATGAAATACGTCAATAAAATAAATAAAACATTTTTTTTAAACCGACGCTAAATGAGCTTTTACTGTCATTGGGGTCTGTTACCGTGGTAACTCTATCAATCGTCACCAGGCCCAGGCCTATGTGTTTTGTTTTCTAGTTGACAGTGTTCCACCTTAAGCTCCTGCTTAAGCTACACATCTTATTCTCAGATGGCCATTATGCAACTTCGACAACTAAGATGTGGTTCAAAATTCACATGGACATTTTTCAGCAAACACGAGTAGTTCGCTATTTCAGCCTTTCAGTATTGGCTGGGTTTAGATTCACAAGCATTTTTTTTCTGTCAAGAAGTGCTCAAAAGATTTAAGTGGTATTAGCCAGAATGAGCTTGGGTGAATAGAGGTTTCATAATAACTTGAACTGACCAAATGGATCTGCAGTAAGACTTAAAATGTGTGGTAGCTGTGGCCCACCTGCTACATTTTCACTCCAAGCTGTTAGCAGACTATTTAAAGAGCTTCAGGAAAGTGTCCTAGAAAGGGCATTTGCACATTCCAATCCCTAAGCCCCAACATTAGCTTAACTCCTCAGTCCTTCTAGTAAGGCTTTACAGGCACTGAGAAAGAGCTGTTTGTGGGGAGACAGATAAGAAACCTGACAGCACTGATGTCTCAAAGAAATAAGACAGTAGGAATGGATTCAAGGTGAGTCTGAAGACCAACAATGAGCATTGGTATCACTGCCTGACCAATAATATTGGCTATAATGATAACCTGTCATATACTATATTTCACTTAATTCAATGAAACCAGATTGATTACGCTCACTTTTTAATGAAACATGCAACTGTTTATGTTCTTTAAGCACTGACAACATTCACAATATGCACAGAAACGCTTATTGTGTATCACACCAATAAAAAAAATTCATCATATTTCTCTCCTCTAAAATTAAAATATAAATAAATTATTATATTATTATTAGTTATCAGAATTTCTTAGCCCCTTAAGATTGGTATCAGCCACGTTTTTTTATCGGTCGAGCACTAATTGGTGCCAGTATGATGCTATGCTTCTCCCAATATCATGATATGCATAACATGCAAGAGACAGTTAAAGAAAAGAAACGATAATGCATAGGTTGCTCCCAAATATGAAAACAAAAGAAAAACAACGCGCTTCTGGAGAGAAATCTCGTGGAATGACTTGTGTGTGGGTGTGTGCATGTGCCTCATCACAGTTGCCAGGGCCAAAGACATGGCAGTCCACCAGCTTTGGAAGCGTGACGAGAGGTGAGGACATCATAGAGCTGTCCACAGCCCCATCTGCTGCCTGCTTGCTCTCTCTTTCTCTCTCTCTCTCGGTATGCCAAGTCTATGAAACCTGTTGATGGACTAGCTGGGCTTTTTATTTATTTATTTTTTTTTTTTTTGCATACGCCGGTGTACAGCTGGGTACTGGCAGAAACTTCACGTCACGATAAGTATCATGATAC